GCGAATACTGGGCTGGTCAGACGACCGAAGTTCACGCCTACTGCAGGAAGCATGACATTCACGCGCGGACTCAATTAACGGGCCTATCGAGCTTTCAGATGCCTTCATCGCGTTGCGTGAGCAGATCGAGGGCAGATGTCAATCTCAGCAGAACCAACTTACTTACACTGGGAGATATACGTTTTTTTAATTCCTTGGCAAGGAGCTCGCGGAAGAATTCGAAACGGCGGACTAATGCACTCCTGGTCCCAGAGAACGTCCTACCTTCTTCTAAATCATTAGTGTTACAGGAGTTATGTATATGAACGAGGGTCACCAAAATGGACATGATATTATCTTTGATTGTCAAAGTGCTATACTAATAAGCTAGCATTATCAGAGAATGACAAAATAAGGCTCGTCGGCAAATCAAGTTTTACTAGTAAATTTGTGACCTGGTGGCACTACCTCGTCTTCAAACTAAATGAAAACTGAGGGCTGAGATTGTGGCAGTAGAAGGTTTGGGGAGGGGTTAAATCGATCAGGGGTGAGGGTGTGGTGGGGGGGGGGCTTATAGTGACGCAAATCCTGCTGCTATGGGCTCTGTAATTGAGAGGATGTGTGAACGTTTACATTGTGCTCTAGGTGCCCGGTGGATGCAGAATCAGTGAAGTCCCACTTGGTTGAGCACAGATGAGATGCTTTGGTTTCACACTTGGCGCAAGTTAGTGGACTACGCGAACAAACCAGCGTAATTTGAATCAAAATTCACGTGTATGTTGATGTAATTTGTGCCGAAGTGCCAACCTAAGGACAATTGTTGTGCCAGTGGTTCCTAGTAATCATTTAACTTTTCTTGTTAGTATTTCTACCGCGCTAGGGCATGAGCCGATGCAAATAAGTGTTGATCTAATCAAAATCTGTAGGTGGCCATATAAATTTACGAGTTTTTCAACTGATTGTCAATTACTCCGAATATGATAACTTGCCCTTCGTCGATGTTTTGTCTCGCAAATGCCATGATACAAAATGAAAGTGGTTAGCAGTTTTTTTATTGATTAAAAATTCTTGGCAACGGGTCACGAGTCATATCCTTATTCGCCTTCATATAACACCTTATTAAATTGTTTGAAACCGTATCATCGAGGGTTGGGCATTGTCAACAGAATAAGCTGTAGAACAGTAATCTAATAGCGGTCGGCATACAATGGATATAATGCAGTGGCATGTCATTAGTTAATCGATTTTATCGATCTGTGTTCTCAATAGTCTGCTAGCTTGTTGAACTGCGTGTGTCGAGGCGCGTAAATCACGAATTTAATTTTGTTATTTAGGAGGTTCGCAGATATGCTTAAGTATTAAGTTGGTTTGGCAGATTTGGTTAATCAAGTTGTTAGTTAGTTAGTTAATCTAGTGTGAAGCACAACC